TCTTCAAAAAAAGTCTTATCACTAAAGTACTCAACAGATTATCACACATTCAAACAGATTCATAAAAATACCTCTCAGCATGGTCACATGGGGGTTAAATGTGACACCAATTTCCTTAGCCTGATTTGGTCATAATAAATACTGAGTAAACGCTAGGAGCATCTTCTGCTTTGGAGATGCTATCTTATACAGCACCTCCTTAAAAAAAAAAAAACTACCCTTAAATGCCTATAAAGTGAAAGTGAAAGTGAAGTCACTCAGTCGTGTCTGACTCTTCGTGACCCCATGGACTGTAGCCCATCAGGCTTCTCCATCCATGGGGTTTTCCAGGCAAGAGTACTGGAGTGGGCTGCCATTTCCTTCTCCAGGGGATCTTCCCCACCCAGGGATCGAACCCAGGTCTCCTGCATTGAAGGCAGATGCTTTACCCTCTGAGCTACCAAGGAAGTCCTCAAATGCATATATGGAGTTCCTTATTTTGCTCTTTCCCCTTCAATTATCATAAGAAACTACAGTGCAAAATGGAGGCTCAGTAGGGCAATGTGGAATCAGTAGAGATCTGAGGTCATCTTTATGATTTATCACTCTTTGAAAAGTATAGGTTCTCTTAAAACACAAGTTTATGGTTGTTTTCTTTATTTTTCTTTAATGAGAAACGCTTCTGATAAGTATTGCAGGTGTATAAATCACAAAATTGACAAATGTTCTAAGTCTTTTACAGTTATCTGAACAAAAAGAATAAGTTATGATCAAATTGGTGTGCATTAGGGTGAGCTTTTCCATGTACCTGGCTCCTCTGACATGTTCAGAACCATTTCTCCTAATTACTTGTTTTGACTTCTGGCTATGCCTTATCATTATCTACAAATTCAATAAACAGCATACATATTTCATAGTTGAGACTCAATGAATCAGGACAACAGTATTAGAAAAGAAAAAAAAGAAAAAGCAACAAAATGTTAATTAAGTCTCTTATATTTTTGTTTATATCACTATGCATCATTTCCAAATTCAGAAATATTTTTTAAAGTATCCCTTTAAAATATACATTTTAAACTATCCAATTACATAAAGCTTGCCACCTGGTTACTCAAATTTGGGAGAGAGATAGTACAGGTTGGGAGAGATTTACAAAATTAAAGTGTCTTTTTAAAACCAAAGGAAACATATACACGCATTTCTAGGCACACAGACTATTTTTGCCTTTACAGTCTGCTGATAAAACACTGATTTTTAAACATTGTATATAAAATTAAATAACATGGAAAAAATAAATATGCTTTATTATATAAACACATAGAAATCTGTACTGCTCAAAATATTCAGATAACACTAGGCTTGGCTGCTTAAAATTGTACTCAGAAAGCATGATAGTGATATTTACAGTCTTTATTTTTCCTAGAGATAGATGCAGTGAGGTGATAAAACACTGATGTCAGACATTTTCTCTTCCTACCTACAGAAACTGCAAACTTTCATATGAAAATGAGGTAGACACAAATTCATAAATTGATCAGGCAGAAACAAAAGCACAGTTCCTTCATGAGCCCATCAATTCTCACTATTCGGGTTGACAGGCATTACTGCAAAGCACCTAAAGCAAGGCTCAGAGAACACTTCTACGTTTGTCAGGAAAAATTCACACAAGCAATTCCTCCTAAGGAGAACCATGGCCTCCAAGGCAGTCAGCAAGCAGATATACCTGTGGTAAGTCGCTTCAATCAGGTCCAACTCTTTGCAATCCTATGGACTATAGCCCACCAGGCTCCTCTGTCCATGGGATTTCCCAGGCCAGAATACTGGAGTGGGTTGCCATGCCCTACTCCAGGGAATCTTCCTGACCCAGAGATTGAACCCATGTCTTTTATGTCTCCTGCACTTACAGGCAGGTTGTTTACCACTAGTGCCAATGGGGCAATGCAGAAAAGGAAAGTTAGATGACCATCTTGGACAGATTAGCAACCTTTTCAACTTTCGTTATCTCGAAGTGACTTACTCTAGAATGCTACAGATTTTTAACCCATTCCTCACTATAGTTTGACAGCTCCCTTTCCAATTTATCCCTCTAGTCACAGGATGTGTGCATGCAATAGGCAAATCAGTGTTAAGAACCTTATTTCAAAAACAACACATTGCCAAGTCAGAGTGCCAGGACGCATTCAAAACAGGACAGAAAAGACAAAATCTAGGGAAGATGTTTTCAACAATCATGATTCTAAATCTCTGGTGATTTGAGCCAGAACTGCTGCTGCTCCTGCTGCTGCTGCTGCTGCTGCTAAGTCACTTCAGTCGTGTCCGACTCTGTGCGACCCCATAGATGGGAGCCCACCAGGCTCCCCTGTCCCTGGGATTCTCCAGGCAAGAACACTGGAGTGGGTTGCCATTTCCTTCTCCAGTGCAAGAAAGTAAAAAGTGAAAGTGAAGTCGCTCAGTCGTGCCTGACTCTTAGCGACCCCATGGACTGCAGCCTATCAGGCTCCTAACAGCCTTAAAATGGGTACTTGAACCCTACATTCACAGAAGCTTCATTTTAGAGTCTGGAAACTGTGCTAACAGCCGTTTGGAGTTTCTTTCCTAAATATCGCTCCTTAGTAACAATTGTTGGACTAAGCTATCTTTATTTCGACCTTGGAAAAGACCTACTCACACAGCAGTAGTTGCTTCTCAACACTATCTCCTGCGTGGGGGTACTCGGGATAAGAAAGCAACTCGGCCAGAGAGGGACTAATGGCTACCCTTGGTCTCTAATAAATCTAGCTTGCTTTCTCTTGAAAGCAACATGTTAGCACCTCCAATATAGTTTTTCTTGTTGTTAATGTCACTGTCAGTTACAATGATGAAGCACCATAGAAGTGGCTTATGGCTATCAACACAATTCACTGAGGTATGCTTCAATTTAGAATTACTAAGAAATGGTACCAAAGCATCCATAAAAATCAACATACACGTAAAATCCAAATTCTACCATAAGAATCTGAAAGGCTGCCCTTGCATAATTTAAGTCATATATTACAAATGGATCTATTTAAATAAAATGCTTTTGATTTAGTTGATTTTCAAAAATCACCATGAAAAGCCTTGTAAAAGTGGCCTTGCTCCCATGATGCAGAGGCATTTAAATATATATTTGAATAATGTTACTTTATAAAGGAAGTGTTAAAATCATATAGGCAGCAAAAGCATTTCAAAACACATGTATTTGCTTTGGTGCATTACAGAGCATTTAGAATCTCTCCTTTTCGCTGTGTGTTGCAGAAAACTATGTGCAGGCCCAAGAACAAGAACTATAATAAGAAAAACTTAAAGTCTTTAGTTAAATTATTTAGAAGATCATGTTTTAAAATTTAAGCATTTAAACTCTTAAAGTATCTATGGGAGAGGGTGGCGATCCAGTGTAAAAGAAATTAAACTGTGTTTAGAAAGTGTTCAAGAATGAGAATGCCATGGAAACTTTTATATATATATGATATATTGTATATATGCTATATACAATATATAATGTATAATAATATATTATTATTATATTATATATACACACATATTCTGAGGGTTAGGAGATGTTTCTTGGTGAGTATTAAAGAAACACAACTTTTTGGAGAGCTACTACATATTTTGATATATACTATAGTGTGGTGTTGGTGTTGGCTGAGTGAAAAGGATGAAACTATAATGGGCTCAAGAGGGAAAATTTCATGAAAAATAATATGTAACAGGTGACTTACGGAAGCTGGAATGTCAGAAGATGTTCCTGACATTCTAAGGTTATTTCTGATCTTTTTCCAAATGTTCATTTAGGGAGAGTGCCAGTATTGCTGACAAAATACTCTGGGTGAACAATACATCTGAACTGCCCTTGAATAAAATCCGTACAGCCCAGATAAACAGTACTACTTAAGATAATGCTCTAATTCTTCTAGATTTCTACTTAACACAGAGTACAGTAGTTATGCAGCTAGTGTTCTATTTATAGATACAACCTCTAACCTTGAAGCCTTTGACTCTTAGAAGTGTCAACAGATTAGCAGCCATGTCAGACCAGTTAATCTGCTCTTTAGTTGCTTTCAGGAATGGTTAAGGTTTTTCTCAGAACCCTATAGAACAAAACAAGGCTTCTGGATGTGAATTCACATAATATTAACTCAGCTTCAGTGCGATTACTGCATTCACAGGAAAATTTGCTCTATTTACATGAAACAACCTTAATGGCTCAATACCTGTGGCACCAATTAGCCACAGTATTGTTTTGACACAGCTGATCCTTCTGTTTGCCAAGATTTGCCCCAGAAGTTTGCATAGTATTTATAGAGCCAAATCTGTCTCACAATGTTGTTTAAAAGCAGATGACAAAGGAAGTCTAGGACCAAAGGAAAAACCGGTCTCAAACAGACTTTGTGTCTTGATAGAAGAGAGAACATTTTAGATGCCTTGAATGGCATCAGGTCACTGAGTCCACTGTTTGTCTTTGGAATTTTCCAAATGATTTCAGTTGATTTTATGGGCACAGCCTTTTTGGTGATTGTGTTGAGAGCTGTACCCGAGTCACACAGGCAAAGTATAGTCACTGAATCAAAAATTGCTTTGGCCTCAATAAGCAGGTATCTTCCCGCCAAAGTCAATACCATCAGCTTAGAAAAAGAAAGAATATCTGCTTCTGAGTTGTCTGCTTAAATCACTTTGGAGTTTAAAAATGGCACAGAGTTTCTTAAAAAAAAAAACACACACACAAATATATATAGTCTAGTTCTAGGAAAGGATGCTACCTTTTGGCATTGGCAAAAGGCCTGTATGAGGTACATGTATCCTGTAAAGTCACTTTGGCAATATCATTTAAAAAAATGAATTTTGTTGCATGTCAATATGAAGAAAAGAACAGACTGTGTATAGTACAGTTCCAGGGATGCCCTTGTGAGGAGGACAATCTGTCTCAAAGGAGTGACCCAGAGCACCTTGGAATTGGAGTGTTAGTTTTAGTTAGCAAACATGAATAGTTAGGGCCGTACCGAACTCCAAGGGCCAGCACTCCAGGCAGCATCTTGAGGACAAGCATGTGTGTTACATTGCTCTCGATCTGGAGGCTTGTCAAGAATTTCACAGCTCAGATCCGGAAACCGTTCCCCGCTGGGCCTCTGACAGACCACCAGCCTTGTTCTCAAGCCTCCACCACACAGCTTGGTACACTGGAAGAAAAGAAAGGAAGGTTGCAGTTATTCTGTCTGAACAGCCAGTGGCAAATTTTCTTTCCCCATGAGAAAAATGTTTTAGCCAAGATAGATTATGGCACCAGGCAAGATAAACCTATAGGCAGAATGAAGCTGAATTACCAAAAGCAACATGTACAGCAGACTGGAGTCCTGCCCTTTAATGATGCATTTGTGTGTGTTAGTTGCTCAGCTGTGTCTGACTCTTTGTGACCCAATGGACTGTAGCCTGTAAGGCTCTTCAGTCCATGGGATTTCAAAGGCAAGAATACTGGAGTGGGTATCCACTCCCTTCTCCAGGGGAATCTTCCCAACCCAGGGTTTGAACCTGGGTCTCTCACATTGCGGGCAGATTCTTTACTATCTGAGCCATAAGGGAAGTCCCCTTTCATGGTAGCTATTGTTTATTAAGCATTTGCTCTTCATCTGTACTAAATGGTTATATATATGTTATCTCATCAAGAGGAGAGTGTTAATTATATAGGGCAACTGAACTTAAGAGAGCATAACTTGATTAAGGTCAATTCAGCAGCAGGTGTCCAGGATAAGATTACAGCCTTTTCTTTCAGGTATTCAAAGCCAAAAAAATCAAAGAAACAGATAAAAATCTAAAAACCACTTAGTACCAAATAAAGGATATAATGACTGAGCTGGTTTCTTTTCTGGCAACCTCTAGGAAGTTGTCACCAACCTCTTGGCTATTCTGTGACTCCAGTCTCCGTAGACCTTTCTGACATCCAAATATTTTATGCTATCTCTGAATCTGAGGATAACGATGGCATTCCCCTAGGATGAGTCAACAGTGTGGTGGGAATGCTGGATACGGTTCTGACTATTGGCTTGACCCACGCTTCTGAGACAGGAACAAGTTGTATTTCTTGGACAGTACCGTGGAGCTTACATCCAGGAACACTGTTCGTTCCCCTGCTGTGTCAAGGCCAGATCTCCCATGGAATTTGGAATGATCTGGTCCGTGCTGACAGCCAGCATCCTGGCAAATGCGTGTACTCTCCTGGCTTCAATCCAATTACAGAAGCTTACGCACAGGCCCCATGGGACAGAGCTTTACGAGGAGTTTCAGGAAACCCACAATATATGCGTCTCCAAACCTGACTTCCCTTTCCGGTCTTTCGGCAAAGCCCTCCAGAATGACGTACTATCAACAAAAGTTAACAAAACTCTGTTATGAGCACCTATGACTACTAGGTTACGTGAATGAGAGCATGAAATGTGGACACGGGATTTCCATTAGCGAAGGGGTGTAGACTAACATGCCCCTCCATCTCATGTGTCTCTCTTCCCCTCTTGGTGGGCACAGGGGGCCTCCATGATGTTAATCCTTGTGTTTTATTTTATAAATTTTATAGTTAAGACAGAACAATTCAACAAACTCTAAGTATGTACTCTCCCTGTAGATTCAAGAGTAGAAATATATATTCTCTTTTAATTAAATACAAAACAATAAACATCTAAGTCCTACACATGATAGTGGCTTAAAACCCCATTTAATAATATAGTAATACTAATGATAATTATTATTAGCAGTAATAACAGATTATCATTATTATAATAGCAACTAACTATGATTGAAGTCTATGGGCTAGGTTTTGATGTGCACTATCTCTTATCCCATGGACGGAGGAGCCTGGTGGGCCAGAGTCCACGGGGTCGCAAAGAGTTGGACACAACTGAGCGACTTAACTAACTAATCTCATATAATAAACATGAATATTATGAAGTGGGTGCCATTATTATTCTCATGTACAGATGAGAATACAGATATTTGGCAAAGTTATATTATTTGTCAAAGCCACAAAGCTTGTAAGAGCCAGGGCTGGGACAGGGGCCCAGTTTTGTCTGCTCCAAATATTCTACGGCCTTTCATCAATCATAGCTGACAATCCTTTTTTTATTATTATTAATTTTTATTGGCATGGAGTTGCTTTACAATTAGTAGTACAAAAGCAGTAGCTTTTGTGTTAGTTTCTGTTGTACAGTGGAATGAATCAGTTATATGTTTACATATATCCCCTCTTTTTTGGATTTCCTTCCTATTCAGGTCATCACAGAGCACTGAGCAGAGTTCCCCGTGCTCCACGGTAGGTTCTCATTAGCTATCCATTTTATACACAGTAGTGTATACACGTCAATCCCAATCTCCCAATTCTTCCTCCCCACTCCCACTTGGTATCCATTCATTCGTTCTCTACACCTGTGTCTCTATTTTCATAGCAAGCAATTCTTAAAAGGTTAAGAGCTGAAGAATTTCATTATTTGAGACTATACAGCTAATTATTCACTTCTATGACTACAATGCATCACCTCTGATAAGAATAACAGCTCCTAATCCCTGATGAACAACAGCTGGTTCATTATGAACTTGAAATATTGGGAGACACAATGCCATGAGAACAAGGGTGCACCACAAACACCCCCAAATTATGAAGATGGCAAAACTTCCATTAATTAATTTAACACACATTTCCAGTCACTTTAAAAGCACCCATGTTTTAATCAGCAGAGGTTAACATTTTAAACTAGCATTATCTGTATTCTTTCCTAACTCATCTCTCCTATGTAGTCAAGCCATCTCTATATGGTAATAAACACACTTTTAAAATAGTCCAGAATTAAGATGGATCTCCTAGTTAATCTGAAGTCAAGAAGCTTTAACTAGAGCCAGTTCTTCTTCCTTCAAATAAACTGTGAACAACAGCACTGTTTGGCATTTGTTTTTTCCCAAAGGATGTATAAGTGGAGTTTGCTCTCACCTCTCCCCAGCTGCCATAAGCCCACTGAGGGCAAGGGCCAGATTCGCAGGCTCTGTGCTCATCAGGTTTGATTCTCTCCACGCAGTCGTTGGCAGTGTATCCATTCTCGTCCTGACACACAACGACACGCCGCTGGGACCCACCAGCACAGGTACTGGAACACTGAACACAGCAGCATCGGTCAACAGGTTAATCCCCGCCTCAGCCCCGCCTCGAGGACATAGAAGGCAGCTGGCTGAAGGGTCAGAGACAAACAAGGCAGAAACCACTCTCAAGCCATCCACAATGGACAGAAAGTAATCCTGAGCATCTCCCTTCCACGGAGCTGCTTAGTGTTCAGGTCTTAGCGGGATCTGGAGGGCAGAAACACCACGTCCCCCTTGTGCCTGTTAGGTCTCAGTAGGTGTTTAGGAACTGCCTAATGAGTGATCATGTCTTGTGATTTCGAGAGCAATCCGATTCATCCTCTGCAACTAGGAAAGGTGCAGACGTACTGACTGACACCACAGTCTACTGGGAAATTCTTTTTCTTTTCAAAACTGCTAGCACTTATTTAGAACCAACATTTAACATCCCTTTCAACACAGGGGTCAAATCACTCGCTTGAGGAATTGCCAGTTGTTGAAATTAAGCTTCTATACTAACTCCTTCAATTATCCAAGGAAAACATCATGGAATGCACTTACATGTCATTTCCTTTCAGCTAACATTGCCTTCTCTCCCTTCACAAAATCCTCTACTTTATTTATTTTTCTTCTTTATTCTTATTCCCCAATGAACTTGAATTCCATATTGACAAACTTCTCTTCAGGTGCATGAGCCCAGCCATGTCTCTCATGGTTACCACAGAATTATGGTCAACCTTCAGCTTATTTCCCACACAAGCTTCTCATAGCTCTCTTATTTATCTGCATCTTGAGTGTTTTTTTTTCTTTCCATTTTTTCCTTATCTTTTGAAACCCGATGTGTTTGCTAGTCTCCTTCACTCTGACCCTTAACTTGTAAAATCTGTTTGCCTGTAAAAAAAACCATCAAGTCCTCTAAGCAGTGCAATTCTCACGACTTATCAAGTCTCAAACTGTATTTACAACATTGTTTTGAGTTCCAGGTTCCAATGGTTGATATGTGCTATCAAACTCCAGCTCAAACTAGTGTTATTTAAAAATAATTGTAAATACTGCTCCTTGCTGGTCACCTTCTATATAAAGATATGAAAAAGTTTTTTACTTATTGTACTGGACTTTAGTTCAATTTCCCTACCAATGTTGGTCAAATTATGAATGATTTTCAAATATACTGAGCTTAGTTTTTTAAATGCAGAGCAGGAAAATAGATTTATTAATTCTGTCTGAACAATTATTTAGGAAATTTTGATTTAAAAAAATCCCACCTCTATTCTCTGAGGGTTCTGTTATACTTACTCTTAACTTAAAAATACTTGTTTTCTACTTTTAAATAGCTTAGTACATAAGAAACACAGAGAACTATTATTTTAATTGGCTTTGTTTGGGGCCAAGAATTTGAAATCTTAGGAAAGACCTTCAATAGTAAAGAGAGATTTGGAATATATATTTTGGCCCTTGGATTTTTCCTTTGATAATAAAACCTTGATTCATCTGTTTATTATCTCACCTATGTTATTGTCCCCAACAAAATGGTAAGTCTCCTTAGAGAACTTCAATATCATACTTGTATCCCTAGTAGGTTCCACAGTGCTGGTCACATGATTAGAGTTTCTGGAAGGAATAGTTTCATAAACCACAGGCTATCCTCCCTTCAATATGGCAGAGTGGAGCAAGGAAGGACAACAGAGCCACGGTCAGCTTAATGCACTGGCTGCCTAGTGACCAGTCCAATGCTTCCTACAGAGACTCTGACCAGAGACAGAGGTCAGCTGGGGGCCAAGTAACTGCACAGCACAGTCTAGAACTCGCACTGCACCATTCTAAACCCAGGGTCAGCCAGAGTCTTTATACTCCCATATACAGGTGAAATATTGTACATGATCTTTCTCCAGGGCCAATTTTGCCACATTTCTTTTTTTTAATTAATAGGGATTCTTCGTTCCATTCCCATGCTGCAGAATTTCACTCTACACTACTTTTGTTAACACTTTTCCTATCCTCTTTAGACAACATATTTTCCTAGGTAAACATTCCTTTGAACAAACCCTGTATCTATCATCCACACTCTACAAAACAAGAGAGAATGGCCATTAGGGAAGCAAGAGATGATGGACATCTGTTTGTTTGTTTCTTTAAAATCTGTTGTATATTTCCCACTGATATCTGGCAGGCTGGATTTTCCTTTAAGAAATCCATCAATGGACCTCACCTTAGTGGGACTGTATTTTTTTGGGGCCATGCCATGCCGTATGAAGGACTTTAGTTCACTGACCAGGGATCAAACCTGTGCCCCTGCAGTGGAAGTGTGGAGTCTCAAATCACTGGACTACCAGGGAAGTCCCAGTAGGACTATCTTTTAAGAAGTTCTACACTTTCCTGATCAAGGAGTAAGTGGAACTGGCTGAGCCAATCAGACTTTCCTGGGAATTAGAATCCTGAGCAGAGCCACCCAAGGGTGGTTCAGAGTGAAAAGAGTTCATTAAGATAGATACTTCTTAAAGAAATGACCTTATAGATATTGTTCCATCTAAACTGGCAAACCACAGCCTCGGGGCCAAATCCGGCCTGCCAGCTGCATTTATAACTAAAGCTTTATGGGAACACAGCCATGTCCACTTGTTTACATATTGTCTATGCCTGCTTTTGTGCTAAGACAGCAGAGTCTGTTAGTTGCAACAGAGACTGTGTGGTCCACACGGCTGAAAATATTATCTGGCCCTTTGCAGAAAAAATTTATCAACCCCCAATGAGATCCCTGAAGATGCTCTGGGCTCAGTCTCTACTGGGGCTAAATGAACAGTTTTGCTTTCCCTTGAAAGAACCAGTTCCTTTTCTTTCAGTTACAACCGGAGACCCCTAGTCGCTAACACTGACAATCTCATAGAAGGTTTGAGTTTACACAAATACTTCCTGGAAAAAGAAGTTCTGATCCCAGAATCGACTGAAAATGCTAGATTCCCATTCTCTAGTGTTCATAATTCTCTGCTGCCTTTCCTGCTGCTGCAGTCAGGAAGAATCAAGCACCCCAAGCCACGAAGAGATGCATATGCATGCCACACACTCCTGGGAGTAAGTCAGGCAAGTCAAGCAAGAGCTGAAAAATCTCATCATCCACCTTCAGCCTCACTTAATTTAGAAAAAAAAAAAAAAATCCCCAAACAAAAAACAGGCACAATGAGGAGAAGAATGGTATTGCCCATTGCTGCAAAAAGGTTACTTAATCCTCCTTAATTGGGAACTCTGCCCAAGGGCAGAATCATTCAATCTTAAAGGAATGCATTATCCACAAATGTAGTCCTAAATAAGAATAGCTTTCAATTTTTTTTTTAAGTTCTAATTTTATCATTAGAATACACATGTTTAAGCTGTGAATTTTTTCAACTGGAAAAATCATGGGACACTCTGTGATGACCTCACTTGATCACTCTTTAATTTCGTAGAACCCAAATTTCTCTAACCCAGGCAAAAGAAGTTTCAAAGTGCAAAGTAAGGGAGGAGAATGAGGTGGTGAAGGTCCCAGGCGGATGTTCTGCTTACAATCAAGAGATGCAGTGTATAAAAACCCTTAGGAGCCATCAACATTCACAGGAAAGTAAGCCTAATTCACTGAAACATAACCATGGTAGAAAACTGACCGGTTCCTTCTAATGCTTTTTAATTCAGAAATAATTAAACACAAGGTTAGCAGTACTAGAAGGAAACAAATAATAAACAATTAAAAAGAAGACTTCATGAGAGATTAATAAACACCAAACTCTACAAACCTCCCCCAGGATCTCCTACTGCCCTACCCTTCCTATAGCTCCTTTAGACATGTCCAGTAGTCCAGAATATAATTATTTTTTGGAAAACTATTCAGTAAAAATTTCTAGAACTTTTGAGAACATATTTTTCCTTTGAATGTTAAATACTATTTGTCAAGTTCTTCCTAAGTTGAAGGATAAAGACAATGATAACAATAATCATCAACATTTAATTTTCACTCTATGGCAGGGAGAGTGTGAAACAGTATTTGCATTGCTTGTTTAATTCTTACAGCAACCCAGCAGAGTCGCCACTATTGTTAACTTTGTTTTAGAGATGATGAAACAGGCTCAAATTGGAGGGAGGACCAGCTGAAGACCCCAAAGTTGGAAAGTCCAAGTCCTTGGATCAAACAGAGGCAACTTCTCTCAAAGCCTCTGCAGTTAACCATTCAGTTATGGTATTTTTCCTCTAAGCACAGATTTTTCCCAGCTGAGTGTTTCTCTCCTAATCCGCTACTACAAATGGCATAGCAATTGTGCCACTTTAAGACTGCACTCATCTGGAAAATAGCAAGAAGGAAAATTACTTTCATTAAAAATTTCCTTTCAGAAAAGTTCTTCTGCCCTTTGAATTTTCCTTCAGGTAAGGAGAAGTTGTCTGCCAGCTCCACGATCAATCATCATGGCCTTCACAGTACCTTCTAGGAAGCTGCCTGATCAAGCCACCCAGGAGCGACACCCCCTCCTCCAACTGGTTAGAGGTTAAGGTAGCTTAGAGTTGTCTCAAGTGACACCTCTTCCTGGACTACAATTAACCCCAACAAATGAAAAGTGCACATCAATCCCTCCTGAGATAAAAATGTTCCAGAGGTGTTTCTAGTCTGCTTCTCTCTGAGCACTCTATCATGTGAAAGAGAAGAAGGCAAATTCGGGAAAGACTTGAGGGAATACTCACCGCTCCCCAGGGGCCTGTCCTCCACTGATTTCCTCCGAGCACGTGGGTGCGGCTAGGGCTGATGCTCCTGGGGTGATAGTCCTCATTCAGGAAAGGGTTCTGAGAAAGGTCTGTGTCTGGGGTCCACTGAGGGCATGGTGACATGGAACAGTCCTGGTCAGTTTCTGGGACATAATCTGGGTCGCACTCACTTTGATCGATCACGTGGTCACTGTAGTTGACACAGACCACTTGCCGGGTCGTCCTACCTTGCCCACATGTCACGGAGCACTACATTGGATATTCAGAAAGGGAAAGAGAAAGGATATTCAGCCAGCTGCTCAGGCCAAAAAACCTGGCATATATCCTGGTGGCTCAGATGGTAAAGAACCTGCCTGCACTGTGGGAGACCCATTTTTCATCCCTGGATTGGGAAGATCACCTGGGGAAGGGAATGGCTACCCACTCCAGTATTCTTGCCTGGAGAATTCCATGAACAGAGGAGCCTAGAGGGCTACAGTCCATGGGGTTACAAAGAGTCAGATATGACTGAGTGACTAACACTCTCACTTTTCACATCCCAGTCTCTCCCCTCTTCTTCCCACCACAAGGCCATTTCAGGGAGAATGCCTGTTGTGTATATTCAAAATAACCCCCCAATCAGCTACTTCCCATCATCTCTGCCATTGCCTCCCTGGTCCAGGCCACCACCTTCCCCTGCCAGGACTATTGCAGTAGCCTTTCAGCTGGGGTCCTGTTTGTAATCTTGATGCCTTCAGCCACAATCCGAGTCTGTTATCCACAGATATGTCAACCATATCATAAACCATGACCCTTGTGAACAAAACTCACATCATGTCATTCATCTAGTGACTCTACCCAATTCACTGTGAATCATGTCCAAAGTCCTTACCTTGACCTGGTAGGCCCTTCATGATGTGGTCATTGGCTACCTTTTTGACACATCTCTTTATTCTCTACACACTGAACTCCAGACCCACTGACCTTATGGATGTTTTTTGATTAGGCCAAAACACCCCAATCTCAGGGTCTTTGCAGCAACTCTACTTTCTGTTGCACAACACAGATATCCATGTGTCTCACTGCTTCACTTCATGCAAGCCCTGGTCAGTGCAATGTGGGGACTCTTCGGACTACCTTTTCTAAAAGCACATCATCTCCTTCTCTCCACCATCACTGTGCTTGACCTTTTTTCTAGTACTCATCAGTATCTGGTGCTGCATCATATATTTATATTATTATTTGCTCACTGACTGGAATTGCCACTGTCATGATCTTCATAAAGGCAAGGGCTTTCTTATTTGTCAGTGACTGCCCTTTCTTAGTAAGTTTTACAAATACCTGGTGAGTAGACTGATGGATGTGATAGACATTTGTGTGTGTATGTTTGGAAGCTCAGGACGTGAAAGTGAGGTTATCTACCATTTACTGAGCACCTTCTTCATTCTAAGCATTTAACAGACAGGCTCTCAAACAATCCTTACAACCTTATAAGCTATTCTTTTTAGCCTCTTTTAAGAGCAGAAGAAATTAAAAGCTCAAGGATTTACACCAGACTGCTCAAGGTCATGCAGCCAGTTAACGTCAAGGTCTGGATGTTTACACAGCTCTCTCTGAATTCAAAGATTTGGATTTTCACAGATTTGGATTTTCTTTCAGATTTCAAGTATGTATTGATGGTGTTTATTGAGATATTCATCTCCATTCTCTTTACCTGTCCTGATCTTTGGATTTCCTGGACTCAGAAGCGTTTTGCAAGGCAGAAAGCAGCAGCTATCCGAAGAGAAAGGCTTTTTCTATTTTTATAAAAGTCCACAGGTGATTATCAGTGGGCACAGGAGGCTGGGTCCATAGCATTAGCTGAGGATTCCCACTTCTTACCCTTGGCAGGGAAGCAGCGGCACAGGACTTCAGGGAACCATAGGGTGCAGGAGGCACCCAGATTCAAACTGAGGCTCCCCTTTTCTCCCCTACATCTCCCTGCCACTCCTCTCTGGCACTCCACAAGCCTACTACATTCTAATGTGGCTTGGCTCAATTAAACTGCATTTTTAAATCAGCCCAACAGGATGTGGGCTTAAGTAGACTGTAAGTTGATTTACACATTTTGAAGAAATGTGCATTTCTTGCACATCTGGCTACGATTCATACCAGCTGCACATAGATGGAGAAAAGTAACTCACAAACCAAAGTCCAATTCTAAAATAGTACTGATTGACCTTCTTGACCCATGACTAGTAATTCTTCTTACAGCTCCCCCAGTCCTTTCCCAATTCCAAAGAATTTACTTGCTTACAGGGTTCCAGTCCAGGGCCTTCCATTGCCCGCAGGGAGTCACAGAACATTCCTCCTTTGCCACTGGTCTAGGCAGGGTCGCACAGGCACTGTCATCAGCCACAGAACCGTCCTCATCCCGACAGCTGACATATCTCATCCGGGTACCTTTTCCACAAGTGGCTGAGCACTGGGTGTTGGGGTGAAATAATGCAGAAAGGTTATTTGAAATGGTCATTCACGTGATAGAAACCTACTTCCTAAAGTCATGTCAGAGAATATCTGCCTCTCCCTCCACCCTCCCCACTTCTTCATTCTACTTCTTACTGGAGTCCAGGACCCAAATCGCCACTGGGTCCGTGGTGCACTGTGTGTGCTTCTCCTTGCTTCCGGGGCAGCTGGGGGAGGGTGACAAGATGGCAACTCACAGTCCTAGAAGAGGATGGGAGGAAAAAGCCAACGTTACCTTTCAGCCACGGCACATACGAATATAATGACTGATAATTCCAAGATCTCAGGCTTCAGTGTGATTTGGAGCAAGTCACATGACAAGTCACATGACATCTTGGGCTTCTCTAATGGCTCAGACGGTAAAGAATCTGCCTGCAATGCGGGAAAACTGGATTCAATCCCTGGGTCGGGAAGATCCCCTGGAAAAGGGAATGGCAACCCACTCCATTCTTGGTATTCTTGCCTGGAGTGGGTATTCTTGCCTGGAAAATTCCATGGACAGAGAAACCTGGTGGGTTACAGTCCATGGAGTTGCAAAGAGTTGGGTAAGACTGTGACTAACACTCATTTTCACATGACATCTCTCAGTTTCAGCTACAAATTCAACTGTAAAATGGGATATAATCTGAGTCCCTTTGTGGGTTCCTTAATACAGAGCAAGAATTTACTTTGTAAATTTCTTTTTTTTTTGGCCATGCCTCATGCCACTTGCAATTTTAGTTTCCCAACCAGGAATCAAAACTGTGCTCCCTGCAGTGGAAGCAGTAAATCTTAACCACTGGACCACCAGGGAACTTCCTACTTCATGATTTTCAAAACCATATTTATTTACCTATTTGTGTGAAGAAAGATAAAATGGCACATAGTTTAGGAAAAAGCAATATGCCCTTTTAAAATCATTATTACTTAAAAAATTTCTGAATGCCAAATTCTGTTCCTACATTTCATTTCCTAGTCAGATTTTGCTAACCATGAATGTGCTTTCCAAGTGTACCTGAAGATACTTCCCGAAGCCCTGAAGAAGGTCAAATCTAGCTACAAGAGGTGTGTTCAATATCCCAAAGCCTAGAATTTGTATCACATCCCTCAATCAGAGGAAATTCTTATAATGGATTGAGGTTATCCATGCATAGATAATATTCCCAGATTTACAAATGGGAAAATGGAAGTCCATACCTGATCACTATTCCAAGCATCAGTGGTTATCAAATGTTCTTTGATTAAACGCATACCCACTAAATTCCCAGGAAGCCCTGGGCACAGTGCAAAGTGCTAGAGGCTCAAGGCTGAAGTGACTTTAGGAAGCTTACAGATCGGACAGGAAATTCTGTTATCTGGCTCCAGACCTTGCCAATTCCTCTGCCTGGGTCCAAAGAAAGGCACAGGGAACTTGGCACACAGTGAAAAATTTATTCACATGCTACAACTGCAGAAGCTTCCCTATAGTCAGTCCATGAATATTACTGAATAACTTAGAAATATACTTTGTGAATTTCTAAGGGAGTTGCTAAGCCCTCATTTCTTAGATTGTTCAGATGTCACAGCTAATACTTCCCAGTTAACATGCAGTGGGTTGGAGCATTTCAATAAATAAAACTAAGAATGACACAAGTCACATGTGGTATTTGGTTAGCTGATCAGTGATGACAACATGAACTACAGCACCATACTCATTTCCTTTTGAGACTCTTCATCCATCAACGACCCAGGTTGCAAAGTGGCAGAGTGAGGGTCTCAGAGCGAGGCAGTACCGCTGCCAGATGGGGCCGCAGAGCGTGAGTTCTGGCAGAGCGTGGATTCAAATCCTGTCTTTGGCAATTAGCAAAGCTGATGTGAAAACCCGTTTCCCATGACATACTCTCTTCATATAAATGATACCAGAATCGAGGTCCACATTGAACAGTATACTGGTGAATGATTATCAACTAGATCTCTTGAGAAACAGGTGTGTTTGTAGATACAAGCATGTGTGTGTGTGTGTATATATATGCTTATTATGAGTTTTTTTCTGATATAAATAATGTGTAGCATAAAGTTTACAAATAGTAATAAGATATAAAATTTAAAATTTTACATTCCATAGAGCCAATTAATTCTTACAGATTATTTTTGTTGATTTTTGCTGAACTCCTGAATCTAGTGCCAAACTATGGCTGTCATTGCTAGCCCAGAGTAGTTGTGACATTAATGTTAGCTGATATTTTGCTTTCAACTAAGAGTACTGTGAAGAAGAAACAAGGAAGATGCATGTCAGAAGTTCACTCATTCACCAATGACATGAACAATTTCTTTGCTGAGTCAGGCAATAATTTTCAAATAACAGAAAGATATTTCTTTTATTTTTTTTGTGTGTTCTTCACAACAAAATAGCTGCAGACATAAGACTGTTTAAAGTTGAGTCTGCATTATTAGCACTTGCTACATCACCTTTTTTAAGCCAAAATAACCGACATGAAAATCAATTAAACTCTGACTCACAGCATTTGCTGATTTCTGTGGTGTAAGTACTCTCACTATGGCCAATGTCAACCTAAAAGTTAGTATCAATGAACACAGACTGGGAAGGGATGTGCGACGGTTCACCATTATATAGTATTTTCACCATGGAAATACATACAAATATAATGTAAATCATAGTAATAAGAAATAAAATAGTAAAATATAGGAAGTAAAATATAGTAAAATATAGGAAGATAATTAGAAAGTGATAAGTTCTGAATATTTCTCAACCTATTTTTAATATTATCTATTTATACATATTTTCAACAATGGCAGTATGTAACAACCAGCTTGCAAAATCTCTGAAAATTTACCAACCATCACTTGTGAGCTGGAATAAGACAGCTCCAACACATGCAGCCTGAATATATGATACCATTTACTGAACCCTACATTGGAATTATTAAAAAAAAAAAATCTGAGCTCAAGAAAACCAGCACGAAGAGGCAATCTTCACCACCTAGGAGGAATCAGAATTAAGAATCTACATACAATTCAACGAAATAGAGAAGACAAAAGTGCTACATCAAAAAATTAGATCCAGAATATAACACATAAGTAAATCCAGAACAATTTAGTTAACCGACTGTTTCCTCTACCTACACACTTACCTTTGAAAGGACTTCTGTTTTGACTGAGCTCCTGGGAAGTGTTGGCATCTTAGTGCCCAAGGCCAATAACCGACGTTGACAAAGGAAACTTACCTGGGTGTCAGTTGGTCTAGTCGCTGCGTTGCAGTCACTGTCATCCACCACTGACATGTAAGTCCCAATGGTGCACTTCACTGCTCTTAGCTGGTATCCCTGTCCACAAGTGACACTGCACTGAGGGGGAGAAAGAAAACAGGAAGTATATACACTCTAGCAAATGTTCTCTTTCCCTAACTTCACCCGTAACATTCACAAGAGAAAAAATATTTCCATCCTAGTGGGCCAGAGGACTGGCACTCCCAAGAAATTAGTTAAGAGCAGGTAATTCTACTTTGTACAAATTACACTGATCAATTATCAAGACATCACATGGAATTATTTCTACCTGACATAGGAACGAGGTCTGTAGTTTAATGCCTGGACTGTGAACCCCTGGAAGGAGGGGAGTACATGTCAATCATTTTTATATCTTTCACACTATACCTAGCAGAATGCTGTGGCTAAAATAGGTACTTTGTAAAGTTCTTATTTGACTTCTGAAAAATTTCCCTAAAGAAGTACAGTTTGCATCAATATTTCTATACAAGAATGGTCATCACAATATTATTTATAAAAGACAAAATATTAGAAACCACCTAAATAGGGAAGAACCAAAGTCAATTCAATGCACCATAGCAAACATATCATAAAGGAAATTATGTCCACTAAGGCTGTTATATTTAAAAGTGGTTAAAAAACAGTAAGTAGAGGGAGTGATGTCATGGAAAGGGCAGATAGTAAAGAACCGATCCATTCCCCCTCTCTGAAAAAGCTATCAAACTGGCAGAAAGTGGCAGAATCAAGTTTTCTTAAAGAAGAGGGTTCTTCAGAATTTTGGACTCTGTGGGAGAAGGAAAGGGTGGGATGTTTCAAGAGAACAGCATCGAAACATGTATATTATTTAGGGTGAAACAGATCACCAGCCCAGGCTGGATGCATGAGACAAGTGCTCGGGCCTGGTGCACTGGGAAGACCCAGAGGAATCGGGTGGAGAGGGAGGTGGGAGGGGGGATTGAGATGGGGAATACTTGTAAATCCATGGCTGATTCATGTCAATGTATGACAAAAACCACTACAATATTGTAAAGTAATTAGCCTCCAACTAATAAAAATAAATGAAAAAAAAAAGAAGAGGGTTCTTTAAAAAGATAATAAAATTTATAAACCTTTACTTAGACTGATTAAAAGTAAAACAGAGAAGATGCAAACAATTAAAATCAGAAATGAAAGTGAGAGTACTGCTCCTGACTCTATAGGAATAAAAAGGGATAGTGAAAGTAATGTGGACAATTCTATGCCAACATATTAGCCAATCGAGATGAAACACATGAATTTCCAAACCCATACAAACTATCCAGAAACACACAAATCACATCCAGAAACACACAAATCACAAAATCTGACTTAAGAAGAAACAGAAAAGAAGTAAAAATATTGACTCAGCAATCAAGATCTCATAATAAAAAAAAGTCTTAAGACCAGAGGGCCTCACTGGTAAATTCTACCAAACATTTACAGAAGAATTAAGCACTATTCGGACTTCCCTAGGGGCTCAGACAGTTAAGCGTCTATCTACAATGCGGGAGACATGGGTTTGATCCCTGGGTTGGAAAGATTCCCTGGAGAAGGAAATGGCAACCAACTCCAGTACTCTTGCCTAGAAAATCCCATGGACGGAGGAGCCTGGTGTTCATGGGGTCCCAGAGAGCCGGACACAACTAAATGACTTCACTTTTTTTCACTAAGCACTATTCACAATGGCAAAAAAGTGCAAACAACCCAAATGTCCTTAGAGGGATAAATGGATAAATTACGGTATATGCACACATGGAATATTATGCAGACATAAAAAGGGATGAGGTATAGATGTGGGCTACAGCATGATGAACCTCAAAAACATGCTAAGTGAAAGAAGCTGGCGACACAAACAATCATGTATTGTATGATTTCATTTGTATGAAATACTTAGAATAAGTAAACTCGTGGAGCTAGAAAGCAGAATGCTGGCTACAGGGTTGAAGGAGAAATGGGGAATAACAGCTTGATGAGTATTTTAGCATTATATAATGTTTTAGAACTAGACAGAGGTAGAGGTTGCACAACATTCTGAATGTACTAAATGTCACTGATTTGTTCACTTCAAAATGGTTAATTTTGTTACATGAGTTTTACTTCAATTAACAAAATAAGTACAATTCTAATACTAGTTTTTAAAATAAGAAAATCATAAATGTATTAACTCTGAAATACAGAGTTAGGAGTATGGCTATCTCTTTTTTGCTAAATTGCTTTTTGCAAAACTTCTCTTATAAACATGAACTATCCTTCAATAATATTCAGGGAAAAAAAACAAAGAACAGTTGGTTGCCGTGAACTGCATGTTTAGTCAAAGGAAGGACAAATCTCTGGCTAGGACTGACATGGTATAGACATGGAAAAAAAAAAAAAAGGCCAGTTAGTTCTAAAAGATGTTATCTTCAAATCTTAACAGTGGCCCTGAGCTGCACTCTCCACCTGTTACTATTCACAAGAGATATGCAGATGTAAGCAAAAAGGAGGCAAGGTATGGAGTGTAGGCAGACTCCACCCACTTACTAAGTGTGATCAAACATGATCAACCATTCTGACCACCAGGGATGCTGTGTTAACAGGGCATATTCAGAAGAGTCCCAGTGTGAATGGTAGAAACTGTAAGGATGCAGTAATAAAGCTACTCTCATTCACTGCACACATGCTGGAAATGAAGACATAAGCCAGGGGGCTGAAGAGCCTGTGACTGTGGTTGGACTGGGTGAAGGGAGAGGCAGTCTTAGAGAGATTACGTAAGTGACAGCAAACAGCTGCTTTGCTTCTCTAGGGAACTTGGAGCGCTACTTAAATAGTACCCAGAACGCTTTTGTTTCTATATTAGGAAAGACTTAATTCTAGGAGTCGGGGCTTCTTAAATGCAAGCCCAAGGGAGATTCTCACTCTCTCCTTTCAGAATAGTTCAAGTGACTGTGAAACCAACAATAGGGACTTGGAAGAGATTCTTTCAAAGAGAGAGGATGCCTGCAAACTTTGATCTAATTAATTTTGTTTGAAAGGCCCGACTTATTTTTAAGAGGTGAGCTTAGGAATCATGACACTGGGAGCTAAAACATCCCTTTCAAATCCCAGCCGAGACCCTCCTGCCAAAGACACTGGCGCTGGATCACATTCTGTTACTGACCCACAGCCACATGCTAGTAGATAGCATCAGCCAGGCACAAGGAGATCTGTTGTGAATTTGTTCAAATGTGCGTGCCCTCAAGCTACAGTTTTAACCCAAGGGCGAATGCCCACACGTGGGCCTGGAAAGGGAATGATCAGCTCCAGGAGGGGAACAACAACACTCAGAAGTGTGGCAAACCAGTTACAGAGTTTCTAGCGCTTGGCGCCTCAGAGGTACTGCGCATGCCACATGCTACAGTGGTGAAGTCCCTGCTACTGGAATGTCCCTCTGCAGGCCTGCTCCAGATAAGAAGGAAAGAATGTAGTTAAGAACTTTATCATTCAAAATACCTGTCCCCAGGGACCCGCCTGCCAGGACGCACATTCTGGCTGCTGACAGGTCTGCATGGAGGTCGGTTTGGTCTCAGGGTCACAGATCCTATCATTTAATCGATCTTCGCCAAACTGACACCAGACCTGGCGGTGCTTATGCCCTTTTCCGCAGGTGACCAAGCACTGTAAGAAAAGGCACAGCTGGTCAGGGTCATTTCTGAACAACGCACTCTGGTTTTTGCGGATTAGTCATCGATTAGCACAGCCAGGTGTGCTCTTTTCCCAGGGCAAATCTCTCTCTCTCTTGTTGCAATCTGTAAACATATCAAGACTTATGCTTTTTGCTCTGTCACTCAATCATTCATTCTGTCTTTAGCCAGGCTCTGGGCCAGTTTCAAGCACAGCATAAACTTCATACAGCATCATGCTCTGAAATCCTGAAAAATAGCATCCATGGCTTGGTAGCATACGAGTTAAGGGTAGGGAATTTACGAGTCAGATTAACTTGGGTTTTAACCTAATACAATTGACTATGGATAGTAAGTTAAGTGATCTTCCAGTACTTCAGTTTTCTTGGCTGTACAATGGGAATACAATAGTGCTAATGGCCAGTAATTGTGAAAACTAAATGAGAAAAACCCAAGTGAAGTGCTTAGTTCCTGTTCATTTAAGGAGTCTTAAATATAATAATCATTGTTATCTACATTCATTGTAGACAACTTGAAAAATACAGAAAAACATAAAATGGAAAATTATAACAAGCCCCAAGTCTCACTATCTACCTAGGAATACTGTTATTAAAATATTGCTCTTTTCTTCCTCTTTTAAGCTATGAACGTTGGGATCATACTGAATATATATTTTGATATTTCCCACCTCTATTTCATTATGTATTTTTGGAAAGGTTTGTTACATAACTTGATATGACACTTTATCTAGTATTAGCTATCTAGGTAGAACTTAAATCCAATGCCTTCTTTCATCTTTTTTTTTTAAACCACATATGGGATCGAGATCGAAGCTAAGGCTGCTTTTAGCATAAACACAAGCACTAGCTTTCCTGTTACTCTGTCCAGGAGTCAGACACTGTTAATCACATGTACTGCTACTTTGCTGCCATTTAGAGACATTAACAGTATTGTTTTAAGACTGAGATTTTATTTAATGTTGAAAGTAAACAGTTACTATTGCACTTACCTGAATGAGATAAGGGAATGGATACAGAAGCTGTAGAAATCTCTTTCCCCCCACATTCCTGACTTGGCCCAATAAATAAGACAATTTCTGTTCCCCTGCCATGTGTTCCTCTGAAGGAAGGTGCATTTGAGGTTGGGGGGAAGGGGGAGCCTGCTCAGAAACAGTCTTACTGGGAAATATTAGCACTGACTATAAAATTGAGAAAGAGCCTTCATCTTCTTTCTCTTGTTGTCCCGGGACCACCTTGCTAAACAATTTGATATGATCAAATAAGAGACAAACAAAGCATAAACCTGGAACACTCAGCCTGGTCCTTTCTCTTTTTCCCCAAGTTTTCCACTAGCAACTGGATGGGTAATCAAATAGGTCACTTACGAGGGTTCAATTCTCTCATTTCAAAGATAAGCAATCAGGGAACCTCATTTTTTTTAAACTTCAAATCTAAACCAGTGCAGCTTTATAATTAATAAAGCTCTGATTTCCTTTACAGCAACTTAGCTAGGTCTGAAAGAGGAGAGAAGGTGAGGGGCTGAAACTTCAAAGATCCCCCATAGAAGCTATTATGGTGGGTGATCCAGCTAAACCCACTGTGACTCTGAGACCACTCATGGACCAGTCATGTCCAGTAAGACAATCACAGGGTGGGTGGAAGAAGAGTTGTTTCTTCAATGGGAGGTGGGAGAGAGGTGCGGCTGGTTTAACTTTGGACCGACCTGGAGAGGCTCAGAAGTGAGCATCAGAGATGACCTGTTGGGGAATTAACAGCCTTCCCATCTCACCTCTGACCAGTCTCCTGATTTCCACTCTGGACAGGATAACTCACTGCACTTCTGAATGGTGACTTTCTCTTGATGAGTGCATTTGCTGTCATCCAGTACATCATTACGGGTGTTGACACAAATAGCCCTTCTCCTCTGGGTTCCACCATCACAGCTTTTAGAACACTGAAAGGAAAAAAAATTAAGCTGAAGTGTTGCTAAGTTTCTCATCAAGCATGCTCAAGATACTGGCTAGGCTATCTTGTCTCTTCTAATTCTAAGGAAACAACCAATCAACAAAGCCTGGTCAGTTCTACTTGTTCTTTTTAGGGGTATATGTTTATGGTATCAGTTTATTTACCAGGTTCACAACAAAGCCAATATTTAGCAAATTGGTATAGGACAACAAAATCAGAAATGGCCTGTGGGATATGAAGAAAGTGTTAAGCTAAGTTGTTCCACCATTTCCAATTTCCCATGTGCTATGCCCACACCAGACATTACACATCAACTGTATTACTCTTTTCTGTAGTTTTAATGAAGGCAGGCATTATAAGTCAATCATGGTACTCTTAATGAGGTTTCCTCAACGCAGCTCTGTAAGGAGCCATCATCAACTAATCACATTTAACATCCAAGAAGACTCTCTGAATGAGAACCAACTTACTTCAGTCCAAGCTGAATAGCGCCAGCCTCCAGTGTTACACTCTCCTGAGCATTTTTCCTGGTTGCTTGGTTTGGGGTGACTACTACAAAAGCCGTCATCAACCTTCTCAGTCTTCCCATCGAGCCTGCTGTACTTGGCACAGTAGATGTCTAATGTGCGGTAACCTAAACCACACTGGGCACTACATTCACCCCTGCTGGCCACGTGCCACCTATGCACAAACCATGGGGGAGAAACCAGTATTACTGTTAAATATATGTCTTATCTAGACTCAATTGGCAGAAAAGCTGAATTCTGTTTTTTTCCTTAAATACCATGAACCCCAAACCACAGTCAGTTACTGAAATTCAATTTGAAACCAACATTTCCAGTATTTTTCATCACTGCCCACATACATGAAAGTCACAAAATGACAGTCAGAGATTCTATCTTTGTGAAGATTCTCCCCCAATAAAGTCAATGTGAAATTCAAGCAACTAAAAAGAAAAAAAAAAAATGGAATTCAACAGAGCAAAAAAAAAAAAAAATTTTATATTTAAAAGACTCATGCAACCCAGCATTTTGCTAGTCATGTAGGCTGCTTTTTAACAGAGAACAAACGACTGTTGGAAACATTCCCTCGGAAACTTCTAGGTGGCCACGTGCTGGAAAATGCTCAATGGACATTCTATGAATTAACAAAGGAATGGATTGCAATTAATTAAATACTTAATTGGAAGTATAATTGAATTTCAAGTATCATAAACTTTACCTGGTGAATAAAGATTGTATGGACCATATATATAACTCAATTACAGTATTTTTTAAAGACTAATGTTTTTAGAACAGTTTTAGGTTCCATGACAAAACTGAGAGGAAGGTACAGAGATTTCCCCACATCCCTGCCCCCATACACCCCTGCTCCCACACATGCACAGACTCCTGATTATCAACACACCCCCAGCAGAGTGTAACATCTGTCACACTGATGGACCGTTGTTGACACATCATTATCACTGAAGTCTACAGTTTTCCTTAGAGTCCACTCCTGATACTATATATTCCATGGGTTGGACATATGTATAGTGAAACATGTCCACCATTATAGTATCACATGGACCTAAAAATCCTCTGTGCTCCACCTATCTATCCCTTCCGGTCCCACAATCATTCACTTTTAAAATTAGATTTGAGTCTACAAACTTTTGTAAACTTTGTATCCCTATAAGCCCTTCTTGGCACACAGGAGGTGCTCAGTATGTACTGATAAATCAAGTGGCTCTTATAACATTCCAGCAATGGGTGGAGAAAAGAAAAAAAAATTACTTGAATAGAATAATCTAAATAAATGAGCTTGAGACATGTTACGTTGATCAAATTTAGCAATCCCAAAAGGATGATTTCACTCTTGATCATTAATTTTCTCCAGCTCAGAAATTGGGTGGTTTGTTGAACACCAAAGCCCTAAGAGCTCTCCCATCTATACTCAGGAAGGAAGGAGGAGCACTGGACACACGCTTATCTCGGAATTTCTCACAAATGCCCAAAAGTAGGTCAGAGTTGACCCACTTCTACATTGGGCATATAAAGTGGGCTACTGAGATGTTCTGTGAGAGTGACATAGTATTTGGTGGATTTGTTCTAACCGGAAAATGTTATATGGGGATTGTACAACAGTGCTTTATCTCATCCTGTCAAAGTTTAATCTGGGCAAACTCTCACTTCCCTAAGGAAGTGAGCCAAGAAACGTGGACCAATTGAACAGAAGCATCTGGAACTTCCATCTGCCCTTTGATTCCTGGTTACCTTCTCTTTGCCTTCATCATCACTTCCTTGTGGAAAGGCTATTTTCCATCCTGGAAAAGGGAGGCAGGAATCCTCCTCCCCTCCCCACAAGAAAGCACACGAGCAGCTCGGGCTGGAACAGTGTGCTAGAGTCCCCTGATGTCCACAGTCCCCGGAATTCGGGCAGAGAATGTGGTCTGTGGAAAGTTCACAGTACTGCCTTAGGAAAGGTCTCAGAATGCTCTCACTCACTTCATTCATTCTCACCTGGAAAGTCATCTCACCTTCAGTGTTTTGGATTCATTCATTCATGTCACGTGACAATTTATGTGGCAGAAAGGCAAAGTGTTTGTTAATAAATGGGAACAGAAAAAAACCGTATTTCTTTGTGGGTGTGTGGGGCATTGTGGCATTAAATAACTTGGGAAACTACTGATATAAGTAGGTTCTTCTATTGCAGAACTTCTCAAGACCCTCAAATCGTTAATCCAAGCTACAAATCTTCACATAGTGGAGGAGACAGTAATTCTTCTCACATACTGGTTTGCTCTGGATCATCTTGCTGAACTAGTGTTCCATAAAAATGTTTTGGGGAAAACTAAGAGTTTGAGCAACCAGTGCAATTCTCTCTACTATTTTTCCATTTTGCACACAGATACTTGGCAATAATTAGTATAAACCACAATTAATAGCAATTTTCAGGTTGAAAGAGAGAAGACAGTAATGCTTATTTGAACTTTGTTTCTGTATTTGCATGTTTTTCAGTGAATAACTTTATTCTTCCAACAATCTGTAAACACCAGCAAGATATACATTTGAATGCTAACAAATGAACATGATCTTCAAGGGAATTCCCAGATGGTCCACTGGTTAGTACTTTGCTCTCACTGCTAAGGGCCTGGGTTCAATTCCTGGTTGAGGAACTAAGATCCCAAACGTCTTGTAGTGCAGCCAAAAACCAAACATGATCTTCTACTTAATTTAAGATGCGAGCATGTACCTGTCTAGTTATAAGGCTGTGAAAACTAGCAGTAAACTTACCATTTTTTCTTTTTATTTCTAAATTATTATCCTCAAGGTGTGTCACTTCTACCATAGATACTTGTATCAAAAAGCAAGGCTAAAGTTCCTTCCCTTCCTATTCTTTAATCAGCCAGAGGTGCCATCATCATCCAAGCCTGTTCCCCGAGCTAGTTTCCTTCTTCGCTATCAGTACAGTTTAGGTTTTTCGTTTTTTTAAGCTAGTATTAAAAAAAAAAAGGTGACTTTCTCCAAATGGGGAATTTAGAATAGCACCTTTGACACAGCTCTCTCAGACTCTGTTTTCCTTATTTCCGAAGTGGAGATAATAATACTACTTCACCACTGTGCTGTTTGAGGAATTAATATATTAATTTTATAGGATAGATAAATAAGTAGGATGTAATATACAAATATTAGGATAATTCGTGCTTTCTCAGTCACTTCAGTTGTGTCTGAATCTCTGTGACCCCATGGACTGTAGCCAACCAGGCTCCACTGTCCCTGGAATTTTCCAGGCAAGAATACTGGAGTGGGTTGTCATTTTCCCCTCAAGGGGATCCTCCCAACTCAGGAATCAAAACATAATGTTTAAATATGGTTCTTAGTAAATGGTCAACTCTACTGATGAATGATATTCACAGTACTAATTAATACTAGTTTATTATTATTTTCAGTGATAATCTGAAATAAGGCTAATCTTATATTATCTTTCCCAATTTAATGAGGCTAAATCAAGCAATCTATTTACCAATTCAATGTTTTTTCCCTGTTTTAGTGATTAACGCAGTTCAGCAATTAGCTAATTATTTTTTGAAAAGACTTTAAGTCTAATTTAACTAATTTAACTCCACTGACTGAAGCAATGGGTTTATATGGACATAACTCAAAGAAAATTAATACTGCCTAAAGATTAATACTGCCAGACATAACTAGCTAATCACAGCACTCCTCTCAGAGCCTTGAGGGTACTTAATATCTTTACTCCAGCCCTAGGAGCTGACAGTACCACTTGATAGGATTTGGCATGGTGACACAGAACCTGAAAAATATCTCTGTGTTCATTTTGCTGTTTATGAATGATGAGACCTTAACAATTTCCCAAACTATTCCCTGCTGGTAGTTTCTTCTGTGAAAGGAGGACAAGCACCAGCTTATCTTATCTGCATTTAACTGACATGTAGACTATACAATGCAACCCCCAGGCTGGTGAACATTCAAACATGACATGGTCAATTGCAGGAAAATGGAAAAGCTTTATAATTCTCTACTCACTCACCATTTGCTGCCTCAAATTTCATACTTTTCTTAAATATTGAACTGTTTGCATGAAAGTGAAAAGTTAAGTGGCTCAGTTGTGTCCAACTCTCTGTGACCCCATGGACTGGAGCCTACCACACTGCTCCATCCATGGGATTTACTAGGCAAGAATATTGGAGTGGGTTGCCATCTGTATATAAATTTTCCTCTAGTTCTTTCCATGAGTACCTTAGTGCACTGCAACTTTTATGTATATAAAACTTCTTATACTGGTGATAAACATTCTGGGTGGATACTAACTATTAAAGGTACTTTGATGGATGAGGTTCTCCTTTTCTGTAGTCTTTCAAACAGAAAAAAAAAAACTTCAAAAAAAAAAACAACAAAAAACACAAACTTTTGCATTCAGTGTAACTCAGTCATAATAATACCTATGCAGTAAGTTGTGAGGGTCCAGTGAGAACTTTCTTGGGAAGCTGCCATACTGTATTAACTATTTTTTTAATTCTTAGAAGAAGAACAAGAAATCTGCAGGCATATGCTTAGATAATCAGTTTCAGAGGGATGGAAAATTGACTAAAACTTATTTCACTGAAACACAAGGAAGAGGCCTAAAGACTAATACCCTACCTGCTCCTTGCAAAACCTTCCCAACTCAGTAAGAAAGACCATGAGCAAACACTGGCCTCACCTCAGGTCACAGTCTGTGCCACAAGGTTCAGTAATGGGTGCCGGCTGAGGCAGTCGATCACATCTTTGATCAGAAACCGTAAGCTGATCAGATTCCCTGGTGCAAACAGGTTTTCGTTTCCGCTCGCCTAAGCAAGGAGGAAAAAATATTTTTCAGACAAAGTAGCCTATTCTATCAACTATTTAGACTAGTGACTGGCAAACGTTTTCTGTAAAGGGTTAGATAGTCATATATTTGGGTGTGTGGGCCATATGATCTCTATTGCAACTACTAAACTCTTGTTATAGGACATAAGCAGCCACTTACAGGTGTAAAAAATTGTGTTCCAATAAAACTTTATTTATAAAACCAGGAAGTGAGTTGAATTTGACCCACTGGCTGTAGTTTGCCAACTCATAAATTAGACAAAAGGAAACCAGATAAATTGCATATAATATGACTACTGAATTTATGTCTCTGGAAAGTCAATTTGGCAGAGCTGACTTTGCTTGGCTTCACACATGATGAGGAAACCAAACATGTCCTAAATACCTTAAACAGCTCAACTTGCCAGCCCAAAGTGTCCATATAGAGGTAGAGAAAGATTAGAAAATGGATGCAGATAGGAAAATGTATAGATTACATGCATTTAGCTGCCTCCACAAAAAAGAAAGAAATAAAGAATTAAAAAACACATCTAATCCCCCGAACTCAACCTAAAAGCAGATACCTTGGCATGGTTTGCTGCATGCTTGCCAGGGTCCATGACTGTTCCAGTAAAACTGTTGGGGTTTGTCTTCAATAGGAATATTGAAAGAATAGCGCACATCGGGGTTGTATAACTTTCCCACCGACAACACCTGGAATGCGCAGAGAAAATGGAGAGGATGGATGTGGGCATGGCAATTCAAAGAATTAGAAAAGGGGCATGGGCTTATGGCCAGGTTTTTACCTGAAGCAGAAGTTCTTGTTCAATGCGACCTGTGGAGTTGATTCTTTCCACAACATTGTCGGACCCGCTGTATTCTATCACAGCATTCCCAATACGGATTTCCCTTTTGGACATCGTGACGACAAAGTCTCCATTGAGCAAGAATTCACCTTTACTGCTTGATAAAGCTGGTGGTAAGAAAAGAGAAATTATTGATTTGCTGCCATTTTTCTGTTTGCAAAATGAAAGAACACACTGATAGGCAGATAGAGTGTGAAGAATGTGGACTTTTCAGTCAGACACACACAGACTCAAATTCGAGCTTTGCCACTTCCCAAGTACGTGGCCTTGGGACATCACTTTCCTACTCTTGGTCTTGATTTCTTTATCTCTAAAGTGGAGATAAAGACACCCACCCTTCATGGTGCCTTTGAAAATCAGCTGAGAAATAATACAAGAGTGCTAATTAGACTGGGGTTTGTGATACAAGCTCTGCAGTTACAGGGTTACAGATGGAACTAATGAATGTGGTTACCAGAGGAGAAGTGGTGGGGGTGGGCAGGGGTAGGGCAAAAAGCCTAAGGAAATCAACTGGATGGTGATGGATGGAAACTAAGATTTTTGTAGTGAGTATGCTATAGTATACACACAAGTAGAAATATAATGTTGTACATGTGAAACTTACATAATGTTAGATGCCAACATTGTGAAAGTCGCTCAGTAGTGTCCGACTCTTTGCGACCCCATAGACTGTAGTTCATGGAATTCTCCAGGTCAGAATACTGGAGTGAGTAGCCTTTCCCTTCTCCAGGGGATCTTCCCAACCCAGGGACTGAACCCAGGTCTTCCACATTGCAGGTGGATTCTTTACCAGCTGAGACACAAGGGAAGCCCAAGAATATGGGAGTGGGTAGCCTATCTTTTATCCAGCAGATTTTCCCGACCCAAGAATCGAACTGGGGTCTCCTGCACTGCAAGCAGATTCTTTACCAACTTAACTATCAGGCAAGATCTCAAAAGCAAATACAAATCACTTACAGGTGAAGAAACTCATCTCAATCTGTTTGTCAAAAGTAGCATTTCAAGAATAATTTGCAGAGAGAAATCAAATCCAGTCTTGTCTTAGCCCATTCCTAACAAAATCCATTTACCCAACTAAATTTAATCCAATCTTAGAAAATCCTGATCACATGTTAACTCTTTGCCTATACTTCAAGTTCAGTTCAGTCGCTCAGTTGTGTGCGACTCTTTGCAACCCCATGAATCACAGCACACCAGGCCTCCCTGTCTATCACCAACTCCCGGAGTCCACCCAAACCCATGTCCATCGAGTCGGTGATGCCATCCAACCATCTCATCCTCTGTTGTCCCCTTCTCCTCCTGCCCTCAGTCTTTCCCAGCATCAGGGTCTTTTCAAATGAGTCTCTGCTTTTTAATATGCTATCTAGGTTGGTCATAACTTTCCTTCCAAGGAGCAAGCGTCTTTTAATTTCATGGCTGCAATCACCATCCGCAGTGATTTTGGAGCCCAGAAAAATAAAGTCAGCCACTGTTTCCCCATCTATTTGCCATGAAGTGATGGGACCAAATGCCATGATCTTAGTTTTCTCATACCAAAAAGCTTAAACCACTTTCAATACCAGATATCAATTTTTTCCTGAACATTTTTCAGATAATATGAGCCTGAAATTTATTCTGGCCTGATTATTTTGTCTTTTTGAGTATTTATGAGTATTTAATTTCCTTTAAGTCAATTAAATAGAGCTCTTTTATGAATTAACTTTAGGTAATATCACACATCTATAACACACATATAGACGCATATGAACACATAAATACAGAGACCTCATAGTTCCTGTTCCAGAATTTCAGCCACGATCTTGAGAACCCAAACCATTTTTCCAAAATTACCTCAATTTAAAAAAAGAAAGCATATTATTTAAAAATATATTATTAATGAAATGAACATTTATAAAACTGGTTCCTACCCAAATAACTCTTTCTATTTCATTCAACAGTTAAACCTACTGAATCTTTGTTAGTCCTGTTTTGACAGACGTTGAAATTAAAAATCCATAAGCACTATGATGCTCAAATATCACTTCTTTGGCAAGACCCATTGAGGCAGTCAGCCTCTAATATGGCCCCAATGATCCTTGCTGTCTATATCCACAACTTGTGCTGTCCCCGCCCACACTGAGTTGTACTGACTATATAATCACTAGGATACTGCAATGTCCAAGGCTAGGTCTAAGGCACTAGACCATTGCTCTTCCTTGAATCTCTGGCTTTGGGAGAAGCCAGCTGCTGAGCTGCTAAGATACTCAAGCAGCTCCACTGAGAAGACTTCTGCAAAAGGCAGCAAGGAACCAAAGCCTTCTGCCAAGAGCAATTAAGTGAAGCATCCAGTAACTGGACCTGCTGGCCCCAGTTAAGCTTTCAGATAGAATCACAACCCTAACTAAAGTCTTCACAGCCACTTCAGGAGAGACCTCAAGCCAGAAACACCCAGCTAGGCTGCTCCCAGATTGCTGACACACGGAAACTTGTATACTGTTTACACTTGTTATTCTAAGTCACTAGATCATGAGATAATTTATTGTATGGTAAAGCCTACCTGGATCATTCTTTTTAAACCTTCAAATCCCTTCCATCCAAACTTTTTATCCAATTCCTTGCTTAATTTTTCTCCATAGCACTATGTTTACGCTCTCTCTACTCTCCCAGAAAAAGAATGTAAGCAAGGATTTTTGGACTGTTTTGTTCACAGTTATATCTCAGCTTCTGAAAGAACACATGGTAGACGCTCAAAAAATAGGGTGTTTTTTGGAGGGGAGAGGGAGAATGAATGAATCTACTGCAAATATTGCAAAAGATGAAATAATCAGTGAAGCTGACAAAGTAATGTTAGAGAACACCTCGTGTCAAGTGCCAAAACACTGGCCAACTGAGAACATGACAGAGTTAGACCAGTCAGACATTTAAGAAAAGGAAAGAAAATGGACAAAGAAGATGAGATGACAGCTGCTTCAGAAGGAATCATTTAGTTCTCCAAATGTCAAGAGAGATTGTTGGGAAAGTAAATTAACAAAAAATCTCAGGAAGCTTTTTAAAAAATGACTCATTTTCAGATTTTACTGTTGAGCTCAAACTTTAAACAAAGAATATACCATTCTGCTGTCATATAACTTGACTAAAAAACTTAGGCAAAAATATTTATCCATTGACATATTCTTCATTCTAAAAACCTGAGCATCAATTCAAGAAAAATAAATGACCCAATCAAAAAATGGGCCAAAGATCTAAACAGACATTTCTCCAAAGAAGACATACAGATGGCTAACAAACACATGAAAAGATGCTCAACATCACTCATTATCAGAGAAATGCAAATCAAAAACACAATGAGGTACCATTACATACCAGTCAGAATGGCTGCTATCCAAAAGTCTACAAGCAATAAATGCTGGAGAGGGTGTGGAGAAAAGGGAACCCTCTTAACACTGTTGGTGGGAATGCAAACTAGTACAGCCACTATGGAGAACAGTGTGGAGATTCCTTAAAAAACTGGAAATAGAACTGCCATATGACCCAGAAATCCCACTTCTGGGCATACACACAGAGGAAACCAGAACTGAAAGAGACACGTGCACCCCAATGTTCATCGCAGCACTGTTTACAATAGCCAGGACATGGAAGCAACCTAGATGCCCATCAGCAGACGAATGGATAAGAAAGCTGTGGTACATATACACAATGGAATATTACTCAGCCATTAAAAAGAATACATTTGAATCAGTTCTAATGAGATGGATGAAACTGGAGCCCATTATACAGAGTGAAGTAAGCCAGAAAGATAAACACCAATACAGTATACTAACACATATATATGGAATTTAGAAAGATGGTAACGATAACCCTACATGCAAGACAGAAAAAGAGACACAGATGTACAGAACAGACTTGTGGACTCTGTGGGAGAAGGCGAGGGTAGGATGATCTGAGAGAACAGCATCGAAACATGTATATTATCAAGTGTGAAACAGATCGCCAGTCCAGGTTGGATGCATGAGACAAGTGCTCGGGGCTGGTGCACTGGGATGACCCAGAGGGATGGGATGGGGAGGGACGTGGGAGGGGGGTTCAGGATGGGGAACACATGTAAATCCATGACTGATTCATGTCAATGTATTGCAAAAACCACTACAATATTGTAAAGTAATTAGCCTCGAACTAATAAAAATAAATGAAAATAAAATAAAAACCTGAGCATGATTAAAATCAAAATATAATTTTGTTGAACATAAGAAAAAATAAAATTTATTTTCATACTTTTTGATTAATTTCTCAAGACAAAATCCCAATTATATCATGAAAAAATTCAAATAATATCCCAATCATATTTTCTCCCTAGTAGTTATTAGCTCAGTTGGTAAAGAATCTTCCTGCAGACCTGGGTCGATCCCAGGGTCAGAAAGATCCCCTGGAGAAGGAAATGGCAACCCACTCCAGTAGTCGTGCCTGGAGAATTCCAAGGACAGAGGATCCTGGTGGGCTACAGTCCATGGGATCGCAAACAGTTGGAGATGACTGTGCAACTAACTTTCACTTTCAGTTACTATAAAAATTTTTAAGTACTACTTTTTTTTTCCAGTACAACTGCTCTTTGAATAATGAAGTATTCCATGTTTTGAGCCTGACATGTAACAAGTACTCAAGAAAGCAGAACTACAAAACATCTGAGCTCTGAACAAAATATTAGAACGAGGCCCCTTCTCTTTTGTAAGCTGTACACAATTAGCATATCTCAGCAGGGAGGGAACCCTTAAAACACACAGGCCATGTAAATATTTAGGTGAATAAAAGAAAGTGGAAACTTCACTCAGAGTTGGCAAATAGGTTTCTTCCCAGACACCAATGTTAATCATTTGGTACCAGTCACTCAAGAAACTATGGAGAGCAGGATTTCTTTTCAGCATCAAGTCTCAGCATCTTAAGTGACATCTGTCTTGGTTCTGGGATGGGAAGAAGCCAAGTTATCCCAGGTACCTGCCACATCCTAACCTGTCTTTCACCATGCAGACCAGAAGCAATGCATATGCAGAAGAGGTTGAGAGGATTTAGGGAAATTAGATATCGAACTCTTATGTGGAAATGAATGAAGGCTGTGCTGTAGCTCAGAATAGAC